CAGATTCTGGTTAGGCTATTTCCTAGCGGTTTGCCTGTGGTTAGGCAAATCTCTCCCACTTGGATTCTTACTAAGAGAATTAAAATTAATTAACTGATCAAATTAAAATTAATTAAAATGAAAGAGGATTAACAGACAACCCTCACTCCCTGGCTGTTAGGGTTGAATGGGCCTTGCAACCAGTTATCTTTCTCTCTAACCACTTCATACCAGGATATGTTTGTTTTCCAGTCATCAGTCTTCAGTTGCTTACTTCAAATTTTAACCACAAAGATGGTGTCTTAGTCACAACATTGGAAAAATCGTGATCAGGTTAGATCTTGAAAAAGTTGCCAGAGAAGGGGGTGGGGATGGAGGCAGGAGTGACAACGCTGTTGACTTCTCAACCTTCAAGTCGGCCTTGCAAAGCTGCTCAAAGAGTCTGTCTCCCTGGGATGTGTCCATCTCCATTTGTCTCCCTACATTGCACAAAGCCAGTGGTGTTACGGCACCTTCAAAGGGGGCATCAATTCCAGCATTAGCTGCAGTATTTTACATTTTTCTTAGAACACTTAGGAAGGCTGTTTGCTATCTGGTAGAGCATTTGGGCTTTGGAGTCAGGTCTGGACTCTTCCTAGTTCTGCCATTTATTAAGTACATGGACCCAGCTGTTACTCAACTGTGCTCATTTTAGAATGGGGATGCTGACAGCACCTGGCTCATGGGGTTGCTGGGACAATGTAATAATAATAAAAACAGTTAATGCTTAGAGTGCTAACTCTGCGCAAGACATTCCGTTTTATATGTGTGTCCACATTTCCTCCTCCCACGAAACCACAAGGTTGCCACATTCATTAGTTCCATTTTGTAAATGAGTAAAAAAAGTCCAGAGAGAGGCCACTCCTCTCTGTCTGAGCTTGCACAATAAGAGGCGGAGCTGGGACTGGAATCAACCCAGGCAGTAGGACCCCATCACCCACACATTCAAGCATCCCACCAGATGACTTCCCTGTGCTATATATTATCTCTTCTAAAGGAAATAATGTGTTCAAAATGCCTGGCACTTAGTAAGGTGCAATAAATGGTAATGCTAAAATAATAAATAATACTTCAATTTTCCCAGGCCCCACCAGCCTATAAAATTCATACAAATAGTAATAACAGAATTTCACGTGATTATAACTCTGCTTACAGGACAAGGGCCCCAATGTCTTCCAAAGTTATTCCTGAAGTGTTTCCTGCCCTTCCATACCTGCCCTTCCCTGAAGGCCCTGCCCTTGAGGTCCTTTGAGGGTGAGTCTCACCCTGCCTTGGTTGTGTGTGTCCTCTCTGCCCCTCCCCCAGGGACAAGCCCTCTGGTTAAGTTCCCTGGTCCCTAAGCAGAGATGGGCCACTTGGGCCATAACAGTTCACACTGTCCATCTGGAGTCCAGGAACACTGTACACTTGGACTCTAGTAACTCTGCTGGGTTCTCCAACTGTCCTGTTACATTCAACAGACATTTCTTAAGATACTATTATGTTTCAGAAACAATGCTAGGAGACACATAGAAATGAAGATACAAGTGTTCAGTATGTCCAGGTGGGCACCCTATAGCAGCTCTGGGACCCTGGTGCCTACGAATACCAAGGTCCCTTAAGAGCTCAGCCTTCCATAGCATATTCATTACAAACAGCGAGGGTTAGAAAAAAAGAGAGAGATGTCTTCTGGCTGGTGGTGGTGGTGTTATCCAGCTTAGGAAAATGCCCAGGTAGTTCTTTACTTTAAATTACTATTTACTGTGTTTAAACGACCCTCTTCACATCTGAAGTCATGCCAAAGAAATGCCTTAAACTTTGGCTTTCCAGCTAGTCCCAGAAGGCATCTGAACCTCACCTGGGCTCTGCAGCACTGGAATCTGCCTTCCTACTTGCTAACCGGAGTTCCATCTGCAGCCTCACAGGGGTTTTGGTATGTAGTTACTCTAGACATCTACATTGTTCTAGTTTATTCTGAAGCAATTCATTCCTCAGAGGAACTCACTGTAAATTCAGAAAACCAACCAAGGACATAAGCATCAAGAGCACTGATGTGTCCAGTTAGTTACCCGGTGACCATGGGGAGAGAATCAGACCACAAATGTCCAGGAAAATAAAAATGAATTTTATGAAAACCAAATCGGAAGAAATGGTAGTTATTTTCTCACAGCCTTAAGCTTACTAAAAGTAAAGGGAAAAGTCAGGTATTTCCAGTTAGGAGGAGACAGGGAGAAGCACTTGGAGGTCAGAAGCAAGCCCAGGTAACAAGGGCAATAGTTACTTAGTAACTTCCTGCTACCGGTGATAAGCCTTCTCAGAGCTCACAAAACTGATTTAGCCAAACTTTGTCCTACAAAAAGTACAAATATACTTCTCATTTGCATTTGCAAATTTTCAGTTATGTTCCAACTGAGGCAATCTGGCCTCTATGTATTTATATTTATCAGTGCCATTTATTATGCACACAGTCCATTTCAGTCCCTGTGTTTGATGGAGGGTTGGGAAAGGGGTCACAAAGATAAATCACGACATGGTCCCCACTCTCAAGTTATAGCCAAGAAAACTACCGATACATAAATACCCAAAATGAAATAAAAGCTGTAAGAAAGGTATGAATAAAGAGCTAAGGAAAGACATATGCAGAAGCAATTAATTCTTTTTCAGAGCCAAAGAAAGCGAAAGAGCTGTTCAGGTGATGCATTACAGGATCTGCAGGAATTTGCAAAGTAGATAAGGAATGGCAATCCAACCAAAGCCATGGAAAGAGTATGAGGTGTGGCAGCACATAGTCAACTGGATGGGCAGTGCTATGTGTCAAGGCAGAAAAGACAGCCAGGAAAGGCCTTGCTGGTGATTCTTCTATAGGCAATAGGGGTCTTCTAGGAGGGTGGGTACCCAGGTTTGATTCCAGTGGAACTGTGGAGGCCATTTTGGGTTTGGTACACTTTACTGGCAATCTGAGAACCTTCTGGGAGGGGTTGTATTATACAGTGCACACTCTATCCTCATATTATGACTGCCTGGTATCTCTCTGCCTATCTGGGCTCCTTAGCCCTGGAAAGGTCCAAATTCTTTTTTTTAAATTAAGGTATCATTGCTATACAATCTTATGCTCAGGTTTTGTATGAGCAACATTGTGGTTGCCACATTCTCCCCTATTACCAAGTACCCACCATATACCCCATTACAGTCACTGTCCATGAGCGTAGTAAGATGCTATAGAGTCACTACTTATCTTCTTTGTGCTATACTTCCTTCCACATACCCCCCCATATTATATATGCTAATCATAAAACACCTTAATCCCCTTCTCCCTCCCTTCCCAACCTCCTGTCCCAACCCCTTTTCCTTTGGTAACTGTTAGTCCATTCTTGGGTTCTGCAATTCTGCTGCTGTTTTTGTTCCTTCAGGTTTTGCTTTGTTATACTCCACAGATGAGTGAAATCATTTGGTACTTGTCTTTCTCCTGGCTTATTTCACTGAGCATAATACTCTCTAACTCCATCCATATTATTGTAAATGATATATTTTTGATTGAGATACAATCGACATGTAACATGAGATTCAGATGTACAACATAATTTTTGTACATTGTATACACTGTGAAATGATCACAAGTCTAGTTAACATCCATCACTATATATAGTCACAAATTTTTCCTTGTGATGAGAACTTTTAATATTTAGTCTCTTAAGAACTTTCAAGTATACAATATAGTATAATTAACTACAGTCATCATACTGTACATTACATTCCCATGACCTTTTCTTAGAACTGGAAGTTTGTACCTTTTGACCCCCTTTAGCCAGTTCACCCACCCATCCCGTTATCCCCACCTCTGACAACCATCAATCTGTTCTCTGTATCTATGAGCTTGGGTTTTTTGTTGTTATTATTTTAAGAAAATCCACAAATAAGTGGGATCATATTGTATTTGTCTTTTTCAGCCTGACTTATTTCACTTAGTATAATGTCCTCAAGGTCCATCCATGTTAGTCACAAATGGCAAGATTTCATATTTTCTTTTTCTGAATAATACTCCATTGTATATATATGCCACATTTTCCTTACCCATTCATCTGTCAATAGACAAAGGTTGTTTCTATATCTTGGCTATTGTAAACAATGCTTTAATGAACATTAGGGTGCAGACAGCTTTTCAGGTTAGTGTTTTCATTTTCTTCTAGTAAATACTCAGAGGTGGAACTGCTGGATCATATGACAGTTCTTAAATTTTCTGAGGAAACTCCATACTGCTTTCCATAGTGACTGCACCAATTTACATTCCCGCCAACAGTGCACAAGGATTCTCTCTTCTCCATATCTTCACCAACACTTGCTATTTCTAATTTTTTTATAATAGTCGTTTTAACAGGTGTGATGTGACACCTCACTGTGGTTTTGGATGGCATTTCCCTGAAGTTTAGTAATGGTGAACATCTTTCTGTGTAGCTGTTGGTCACCTGTATGTCTTCTTTGGAAAAATATTCAGATCTTCTGCTCATTTTTTAATCACATTGGTTTTTATTTTGCTATTGAGTTTTTGAGTGCTTTTTATATATTGGATATTAACCACTTCTGAGTAGTTATGATTGCAAATATTTTCTCCCATTTAGCAGGTTGCCTTTCATTTTATTAGAAAGTTCCAAATTTGTAACTTTGTATTATACAGAGCAGCTTCTCCACTTCTCAAAAGTCTTGGCTCCAGCTAACACTCAAGCTTACAAGGGCTCACTTCTATGTTAAATAATTATCAAAGCTTTTTCCTAAATAAAGGCAGTTATTTTATTAAGAGAAATTCTGGTGCCAGCTGTTAAAGATAATATAAATTTGTTCATCTCATCATACACATATACAAAATCAACACCATTCTAAATATTTTACACATAATGGAAATTATCTGTGAAACCTAATTATACTTAAGAAACACATGGCAGTATTTCCAAATTTATTTCATCATTTCAACATACAAGGTAAAATAAGTACAGGACACTATGCTAAACTTGTTTTCAAAAAAGTTTATTTTGTTATAAAATGTTAAATACTAAAACTAAAAACATATAAATTCAGGTCAGGCTATAATAAAATACACACATACCCTTCTTTGCAAAAGTATTAAAGACTGAATTAAACAGATGCTCCAAATAAAATACTCTAGAGGACTTTTTTTTTTTGTTCAATTAATTATATCAGTGTAGTGCGGTTTTTAAAAATTACAGATGAAAAGTTTAGCTGTCTTGGAGTTAAACATGTCTCCAGTTTCCTGCCACCCAATGTGAAGCTACCATGGTGGCCTGGACACAGTGGATTCAGCTATGCTACTGAAACTTCTGTATTACAGCTTACTCTCTTATAATACCAACAGAGAGTAGTCAGAAGCGTATAAAGGGTTATACAAAGTGAAAACCTGGCCCAGAAAGAAAAGGCCTTAGTTTTACCATACAGCGTCTTCTGTAATTAAAATGATTGGTAAATATATTGAAGCAGAGATCAGCACAAAGCATATACGTTCATCTAGAAATAATCTTTCAGTTTAAAAAAAATCAAAAAGCACTTATTTCTCCAAGATAGTTTATAAGTTTTTTAAATTTCTTGTTATTTTAAATTGAGTCAATTCTAAGGTACTAAAGAGTCCAAGTTTAAAAACTAATTTGACTCCTGTGCTGACTAGCTCTGGACAGCTGTGACATCTGTGTGTTTGAGTCACTCACACAGGTGGCAAATAACTTTCCTAATAAATCTACATGCTCAACACCAACAGAGTACCAGCTTCCAAATCCTACTTCCACTCAGGTCAAACAACCTACAAACTATCTATGGTCTATATTTAAATGTTAAACAGTATTTTCAAGAAAATACTTTATTTTAAAACTTGTATTTTTCAATATCCTAGATGAAAAGTTACTGAATTAGAATTTTAAGTGCTATAATTCACATAGGGGCAAGAATATACTTATGAAGAAAAGGCTATTACTGTGTTTTAAAAGGTCTTAAATGTGAATGTATTTGTAGAAATCTACCACAGTATCTCTACTCTTTACAATGCTAATCCTTGTCAAATGGGATTCGCCAATAGTTGATTAGCTCGGGTGATAAAATACAAAAAATATAAAATGCATTCTGCTAATCTTCATGAATATAATCCAATTGCAATCAGGTTTCTTGGAAGATATATGCAGGGAATTTTTATTGTTTTACTGACAGTGTTGGTATATATCCAAGGACTAACTGTATGATATTATGTCTAATACTATGGGATGGGACTGCTTAATCACATCTTTGAGTAGTTGGAAAAACTACGTGGATTCTTAAGTCACTGACAATTAAAAGAAAAATACACCCGAATACTGAATTACAGATGAAAATAATGCTAGCAATAAATAGTAATCTAATTCTCCATCTCTCAGCTTTTAAGCTTCTGATGTAATTATTTTTGTTGACATGTGATAGATGAGAATTTATAATTCTGTCCTCTATCCTACTAGATGTAACAAGTCTCTCATGAATACACTTTCTTTCAATTTACTAGATAATCTTGAAAGGCAAGATTCGTGTTATTCCTCATCAATAACCTTGTGGTCCTCAGAAAGAATTCAAATGATTCAAGCCACTGACATCCTAATCCTAGTAAGTATACTAAAAACACGCCTGAGCCTTTGATTGCAAATTCTCTAGAAATCATCTTTTCCTGTGAGCATCTTTACAAATGTGCACTAAAGTCATGCTGGTCGGGCACTTTTACCAACATTCTGGTTTTGCAGAATGATCAAGAAGCATTTGTTCATCTGTGATAGAGCCAGACTGTGATTGTTCTAAAGATAAGACAACACAAGGCATTTCTCACTGGCCAGGCAACGTGTCAACAGAGGCCCGAGGGGGTACAGACTTTCCCAAGGATGAGGGGCCCCATGGGATCTCTCCCCTTCCAGCAAGCCTCATTCTCCTCCCTTGATGTTGGTGCCTCTTACTGTTTTTGAAAAGAATGATGCTTGAGCAGGAAAACAGCCATATCCTGCTAGGAGATACATGTAATTTTGGGGGCCCCAAATAGAGTGAAATGCAGGGCCCTTCTTCAAACAGTATTAGGATTTCAAGATGGCGATAGCAGAGCACTGAACCAAGCATGGGGCCCCCCCAAGCATGAGGCCCTGTGTGACTACACAGGTTACACGGCCATAAGGCCAGCACTGTTTAGGGTTCCTACCTAATCGGAATCCCAGGGAGGAGACAAGGGGGCTCAGTGGGCTGTCCAGATAAAAAACGGAAATTTTTTTTCATGATGGCTCTAACACAGACACTGACTTGAAACCATGTGGCACTTCACTTTCAAAATCCCAGGCAAATTTCTATTCCGAAAACTTCAGATTGATCAATTTACCCTAGATTTGTCATTATAGAGATAGTCATACTGAGCCTTTGAATGCCCCTTATTTTAATAGAGCAATTAATCAGGACATGATGAAATTTCTGTATTAATCCTATGTGATTTTTTTTTTAATTTAAACATTTATTAACTGGGGGAATATTAATATCACTAAAGCAACAGGGCATTTAAAGGAAAAAATAGCTGTACAACAGCTTTATACACAAGGGTGAAGCCTTAGTTTTAGCCCGTGGGTATTTTGTTCCCTTTTAAGATTGCAATAGCAGTTTTTTACGAAGAGAACTAATAAACACATTAAGCTGTATGCTGATTTTTTTTTAACGCCCTTATGGGTATCGGTCATAAGAATTTTACTGGAACCCAGAGTTATCCCCTTTGTAATAATAATTTAAAAAGCATATGTATATAAAAGCTCCAGGTTACATTACTAAGCAACGACATTTCCGAGAGTGAATATACTTCCTGTATTCCGCAAGTTGTTTCAAGTACATATTCGATGGCCATCTGTGCTTCTCAACAAAACTGCGTTCTTCCACTAAAAATTTTAGAAAAAGAATGTTAATTTAATATATTTTATTTTGGATCAAGTTTAGATGTTAACTATTGATTTCCTATTTAACAGATGAGATCCAAGCTCTCCTATACATGCCCTACCCTTGCCTCAAGCCTTCCACAATAATTCAACACAACTTTAGTTAAATCAGTCATCAAGGATTTATGTTATTATGCAACATTTTACATCTTGCCCACTGGTTCATCAATTAGTACTTGATTAGGTGTTTTTTTTTTCAAATAAGATTTGTTTTTCCTAGAGATGGTAAAGGCTTGCTTTTTCATTTAGTTTTCTTTGTAGCTGACTCAACCTTCCAAGCTCTTCAGCGTCCAGTCAATTCTATTTTCCACCCAGGCACAGCTATCAGATAATCTATCCATTCCAGTAGTGGCTGTCATTGTCTCCGAGAGCTCCCTTCTCATCAGAGCCCTGCCCACTTTTGTTTTTAGAACTGCTTCACACTGTCATGTTGGATCCCTCCACTCCTGGATTCCAGGTCCTTCTCTGTGTTTATTCTTTAGTTTCTGTAAAGCACAACCTTTATCAGTTTCCTAAGAAAGGATATACATAAGAAAGAAGCATTTTGAGACCTTGCTTGTGATGAAACCTCTCTAATCTGTCTTCCCGCACAAATCATAGTTCGGTTTGGCATGGAATTCTAGGTTAAAAACTTCCCTCAGAATGTCGAAGACAGTACTCCACTGCTTTCTAGTTTCCAAAGTTGTTAAGAACTCCACTACCAGTCAGATTAATAGCTCTTTGTAAATGATGTGTGTGTGCATGTTTTGTTTTGTTTTTTTCTTTATCCTGTAAACTTAGATTTTTCTGTTTACAGTGTGTTCTTGCCTGTCCTGATGATGGACCTCATTCATTCATTAAGCTGAGCACTCAGCAGATCCTTGCAATCTCTTGACTCAGGTCCTTTGGTACCGGGATGACTTCTTGTACCATTTCTTTGATAATTTCCTCCCCACTGTTTTTTTTTTCTGTGTTAACTTGTACTACTTAGATACTTGACCACCTGGATCAAGCCTCCAATTTTTTAAAAAACCTTCCTCTTCTATCTGTGTCTTCATCTATTTATTCAGCTTCCTGGGAGATTTCCTTTACCTTTCAACTCTTTTATTTAGTTTGTTTCAACTCTTGTTTTGTTGGTTTTTCTTTTTTTGCTATCATATTCCTAATTTCTAAGAATGACTTTTTGTTCTTTTATTGTTTTTTTAATTACAGTAAAATTCACACTAAGATTTACCATTTTAACCATGTGTAAGTGTACGGTTCACTAGTGCCAAGTACCTTCACATTGCTGTGTAGCCAATCTCCAGAATTCTTTCTATCTTGCAAAATTAAAACTCTACACCCATTAAACAACAGCTTCCTATTCCTCCCTCTCCCCCAGTCCTTGGCAACCACCATTCTACTTTCTGTCTCAATGAATACTGTTTCTTTTTTATAGCATTCTATCCTTGCTTTACAGATGTGTATCTCTTATTCTTTTAAAACATTAATTTAAGAGTTTTTTAAATTAGAGTTTTTTTCTATTCTTTGTTCCTCTAAGTTCCTTCTCTTCTGGCTTTATTCATTTTGTTTTGGTTTTAGTATCTATCTTTTACATTGGGCAATGCCTCAAATATCTGTTGATCCTCAGTTATCTCTTTATATTTGAGACTGAAATACCGGAAAGCTGTTTGGGTATCTTATGTTCATGGATGGGACGTAGTTACCAATGGAATACACTGCAGCATAATTCAGTAAGTATCTGTTAGGTTCATTGAGATAATTTCCAAGTGACTGCCCCCTATATATTTTTTCTCTGAGGTCAGAGAAGGATGCTTCAATTTTATGCCCAGAGTATGAAAGTTAAGGCAGCCAATACCTAGCTGCCAGAATTCTAAAACTTGGATAAGGGGAGGAGGGCCCCATGTTTTCAGTCCAGCTTCTTAGCCTAATGTCAGCTATACAGTGTTTATGATTCTATAACTTTTTTGGTTTAATTTCTTCAGGAATAATCTCCTATTTCCTGTGCCAATGAGGGAGAAGTAGACGCCTGCCTGGGTAGGATGCAGTACAGTAAAAGCTTCTTAATCAAATTCAACTAGTTTTACAGCTTTCAGCCCCAAGCCTCATTCTGCTTTCTGAAATACCTGTTCTTCAAATTACTAAGGCTTTTTGGTATTCTGTGCCAATCAGCTCGTTTCTCATCAGTTTTGCCTTCTGTAGACACTTAGGTTTCCTTCTACTAATTTCTACTTCTCCAGGCACTGTTTGACCTCATCTATTATAGTTTTAACAAAGTCTTGATCCAAGTTACAGGACCTGGATAAACACCACCAACCAAGCTGCTCAGGGGAACCAGTTGTGGCTTTTTCATTAGGAAGCAAAGGTGACATCAGATGCCTCCCTCAGTTAAAATAAAAAAGAAGTTACCACAGATGAACTCTGCAAGCCAGCAAAAAACAAAACAAGACAAAAAGCTCCATAATACATAATAGTGAGCTGAATTATACTAACTGTGAGAATAATGCCAAGGGTAATGTATTCCTGTGCATTGCTGTTCGTTTTCCTGGGTTCAGTGCATAAAATACAGCTAATATTTAATGAGCAGTTGAACTGAGTTCTATGGATCAGTGCCAGCATCAACATGAGACCTTTCTCCAGTCTCACTCTGATTTCTAAACACCTCTAAAGAAGAAAAGTTCTCAGTTAAAAGAAAATAATCCACAGAATCCCAAAAAAATAACTTAATTTTTGAAGCTGAGAATGGGCAATTATTTAAGGAAGCTGTAACATAATTTTGACAAGAACTCTTTTGAACTTCAAGTGACCACATGAAGTAGTCCACAGGTAAAGGTTATAGGGAGGACTGGTGACTCCGACACTTTGGAGAGGACAAGCCACTTAAACGCACAGCCACTGGTCAGTTCCAGGTTGCTGCTCTGTGGGAAGATGGGCCCAGAGTAGCTAGATCTTCCAACTTTTCAAAAGAAGCCAGGAATTTGGATTTTCAAAATCTAACATGCTACAATTTTTAAATGTTGACACTAAATATATAATAATACCATGTAGTCCAAATAAATCCTGTTGGCAGAGTTGACTTTAACCCTTGACTTCAGTTTGTGACCAATGATTTGGACTTTCAAACTCTCCCATAGCTTCAAGGGGCTTTTATTTTCTGCCCCAGAGGACAGACACACTGTAGTAGGTCCTGGGCATGACAGGTACTGCCGAATCAGAACATTCATGACACCTTTTTGACTCCCATCAAGGAACAGAAAATACTGCCACAGCCTTATTCTCCTACCTAACTTCTCAAATTACACCCTGGTGTCCTGCTCTTCACCATGCTAGGAAGTCATAACATACTTTACAGGCAATTGTGTAAGTAATAAAAAAAAATTTTAATTAATAATTCAAAGGATTTACAGAGTACCCTTCTCTCAAGGATGTATGAGTATTCCATGTGTATGATACACATACATATATATCAGATAGAAAGTGAAAATCAATCTTTCCCTTTTTTTTACAAACAAAAGTGACCTAAGCATAAAGAAGGTTGTCCTAAAATAAAAATGTTCACTCATTTCATTTTTTATTGACTTCTTAAAGAATAACCAACCATGTAAGAATGTCCTTATTAACAGCAAACAGAACATGTCTTACCTTTAGGAATGAGCTTAGTTTGTTTCTTGCACAAAGTAGATGGTTAGTAAATATCTATCATTTTGCTTTGATTATTATGTTACTCTACGACACTAATAGTTGAATCTATGTAAGTAGGCTCCCAAAAGGCACCCATTTGCTGACTGTCTGAAATCCATCTGCCAATATGTATGGCAAAAACTGATTATGTTTCTTGTTTTTCTTAACTATACAGAGTAGCTGAACCAAACTAGAGATTTTCATTTCTTTTAGCAGCAGATTGTTTAGAGGTAAAATTTTATGTAGAACTCTAAAGCATAAAACAGATAAAAGCTGAAGTGCTCTGGGTGGAGGTGGGAAGGAGGAGGCCAGGCACTGGGAATGTCAGCCTTCTCTTCCTCCCTCCTCCTCTCCCTTGCCCCCTACCTGGGAAGACCTCCAGGCATCTCCAAGGAGATCTCTGTTTACAGTGTGAAACTATTTGGCTAGGTGACCTTAATTTCCTTTTCCTTTTACACTGATTATTCCCTTAGTCTCCTCAAGGCAGTAACAAGAGGGAACCACTGCACCTAAACCGGCTCTCTACTCTGATGACTTGTATTTTCATTTCCTTTGCTCTTATGCAGCACTCAGAAGCTCACCTTTTGATTGGTTTTAGTCTTTATAATTTACTTTAAAAACCACATTATGTATACTTTCTGCTAAGTTTTGCAATACTCTTTTATCAATAAAAAATTATTTCCAAGTAATATAATGGACTCTTTACAGTTATACTTAATAGATACAGATATCAGTACAATAGAACTATGTATTATAAATAATGAACAATAGTTACAATTTCTTTATAAGGAAAATATTTTAAATCTGTACTATTTAAATTTTGCTTCTGACTAGGTGGTTAAAGCCAACATTTCATTTATCATAACCAATTGACACCCAAGGCCACCTTATCTTTCTAAAACAGCCACAGATACAATGATTAGATTGAGAGAACGGCCCAGAAGGACTCATGGAGAGCGTAAGTCCATGTCTAATGGGTCTCTATAAGATACAGCAGAAAGGAAAAGGGAGCATTATTAACAAATAATAATACAACTACACCAATGAGGAAACCAAATCAAATGAATGACAAGCTACTGCTGCTGGAGTGGCTGAACGTCTCTGAGCAGATGCATAGCTCCACCTGTGTTTAACAAAATGCATTAAAAATGGACAGGAGCTATGAAACAATCAATAGAAAACTTGTATAACACTGGTGATTGTAGGTTAAAGTGCCCTCAGTTACCACACTGCATATTCAAAAGGAATGTATTACATTGACTTTAAATTTTTTAAAAACTACTATTCTTACAAATTACGTCTCAAAGCGAAGAACAAATAACATACATTTTTCTTTTCAAAATAATAATAGGCAATCTACCTGAAAGGTCCTGAAATTCAGGCTTTTGACTGAAGATGAGGTAGTTAGTGGCAATGAAATGAAGTAGCCAGGTTGAAAGGCAATCGGAGTGGTGAAACTGCAAAAAAAAACGGAACGTGAAACAGTATTGTACAAAACAGCCATGGATACGATGATTAGATTGAGAGAATGGCCCGGAAGAACTCATGGAGAGCTTAAGTTCATATCTAATGGGTCTCTATAAGATACAGCAGAAAGGAAAAGAGAGCATTATTAAAAAATAATAATACAACTACACCAATGAGAAAACCAAATCAAATGAATGACAAGCTACTGCTGCTGGAGTGGCTGAACGTCTCTGAGCAGATGCATAGCTCCATCTGTGTTTAACAAAGCCTATTTAAGGTTTTTGAGGATTTAAACTCTTAATCTAAGGTAATGGACTTAACTACACTTCTATCTATGTAGCAGAGGTAAGATTATGGTCAGCAAAGGTGGACAATTGGCCATATCTAAACAAGTTCTCTTGAGGAGCAAACCAAAAATGTTCTGCAGAGGAAAAGTCATCAACCTGAGGGCATGGGTTTCAGTGTGTGAGTATTTCCTTGAGAAGGTTAGGTCTGAATAATTGCTTTTAACTAAGATGTACTATACCAAGCAGGATTTCCAGCACATTTCTCATTCTGAGTTCCAATAACTAATGGAAGAGAAACTTAGAGCAGCTTGGCTATAAAATCATATTAATGCCAATCCACTGACACTCTCTGATGCATCTGAACACTCAGTTCAGATTACAGTAACTCGCTGAAAGGCAACTTTGGTAGGTGAGTATGATTCATTTTATTATTATAGTAGTAAAATTCACCATTTTAACCATCTGTATAGTGTACAGTTCAGTGGCTTTAAGTATATTCACATTATTGTGTAAGCATCACCACTATTTCCAGAAGTTTTTTTTCATCCCAATATGAAATTCTGTACCCATTAAATAATAACTCCCCTTCCCCCGACAAGCAGTCCCTGGTAACCACTATTCTATTTTCTCTCTATTGTATCTGATTAAGTTCTCTCTATGGGCCTTATTTAAGTTGAATTATGTAGCATTTGTCCTTTTTCTACCTGGTTTAGTTTACTTAGCATAATGTCCTCCAGATTCATCCATGTTGCAGCATGTATTAAAATGTCATTCCTTTTTAAGACTAATATTCCACTGTATGTATATACCACCTTTTGTTTATTCACCTGCTGATGAACAGGTTGTTTCCACCTTCAGGCTAAATATTAAATATAGCTCTTTTAAGGAAACTCAAGATTATTATGTAAGCAGTAAGATTGCTAAATTGAAGAAAGATCTACAATCTCAAATTTTAAGCAAGAAACTCAAATATTACTCTAAAAGTTACATTATAACTTTTTGTGGGATAATTTGCTATCACAATATAAGTTGGTCATGGGAACAGTAGTACAGCATGGATAATATAGTCAGTGGTTCTGTAACATCTTTCTACATTGACAGTAACTGCACTAGATGGGTTAAGGACCTAATAATGGGTAACTGTTGAACTGCTGTGTTACACATATGAAATCATCAGAAGATTGTATATCAATGATACTTCAATAAAAATAAAAAGTAATAAATAAAAACAAATAAAAGTTATAACATGGGAATATTTTAACATGTAAATTCACAGGTCGCTACTGATTTTCATTCAAAATAAAAACTTTTTAATTTTAAGAGACTTTATAGTTCATCTAATTCCACACATTTCAACAATTTTTTTCACCTTATCTTTTAGAAGATGAATGTGAGCGATGTCAAAAGACAAGAGCAAGACCATGTAGCTACTTAACAGAAGCCATAAGCACTACTCCATGATTAACTCAGAGCAGACAACCCACCAACAGAAGTTCAGAACATTGCCTAAGGGCTGTGACTTTCAAGAGAAGCGAAATCACAAAAAGTCACTGCTTACAAAAACATGATTAAAATGCAGAATTTTATTTTTGGCCAAGATTTGAGACATCGCAAGTGTGGGCTCTCTTGGCAAGAGATGGAATGTACTTCACTGTAAGATCTACACTTTGAAAGAATATGTGCTGAACTGAGAAAACAAATTTAAGCTGAAATAAACAACAGAATAAAAAAGACAGGCATAAAAATAAAAACTCTAAAGCAAATGCTATACTATTTAACAGCTCTGTGAAGAATAATAATGGTGGAGAAAGTACCTGGAAACTCACAAGGAAAAGTCAGAAACAGAACTGGTGACTTGAAGTGGCCAAATATTAATGTACAGATTATAAACAAAAGACAGTTTAAAACTTTAATATGAGAATAAATAGGACTTCAGAGGACTCATCAAAGTTTGGCTAGATAGTGTTTAAATTGGAGTAGAGATAAGGAAATCTCTTCCTCAACTGAAGGAATGACCTGATTAAAAGGGAAAGAAGCTTCTCTTGCATGTTGAGTCCAACTTGGTGGAAATATCTGAACCTGGAGGAAGAACCACGGTACAGAAGTAGGTTAGGGAAGCAGAAGTGAGGGGATATGCAAACTGCTCAGCTGTATCAAAGGTGCAAGCGATGCTTTCCTGATACACAATACAAAACTGGCAGAGATGGTAATAGAGTGATTGGGAATTTTAATTATTCAGAGAGCTACTGGGAGTCTAATTCTGCCAAAAGACAGTTTTACCTCCTAGAAGTCAGAGAAACAATGAGGGAAAGGCTAATAAAATCCTGATCCACAGGATTTTGGTGAAGTGGAGCCTCAAACTAAGAACTTCAAAGAGAACTGGGGAAGGAAATTATCATAAACTGGGATTCACAATTGCCAAATTAGGAACCACCACACAGAATAAAGGAAAACTGGTAAATGTGGGTTAATTTCAGCAAACAAAAGTCTTCAGAATCAAGAGTAAAATTCAAAAAGAGGTGGTATTTTAGACTTTTAAAATTTGAAGGGAAAAAATAAGAATCATCACATAGAACCTACAGTCATAAAAAACAGATTAGGAAGAATTTCTGACAATGCTATCATATATGACACCGATGACAAAGCACACGTGTGTGTACAGGCAGCAGCACCTAAAGAAATCAAGGCAACCATACAGGACGTTCGCTTGTGCATGAAATTATTTTAAAACAAAACTACACGATAAGGAAAGAGAACTTTGTGTCTGTTGTTTTAAAGTATGAAAGACTTAGAACAGTATGAAAATTATACATAAAGATTTTTTAAACTAAATCTAGAGGGTAGCTATTTACCCCAAGCTCAATGTAAATATATTACAAAGAGAGATCAGAGTTATTCAGTTTTTATCCCTAATACTAAATACATGCAATCCTAAGACTTGATTATGAGAGAAATGAGCTCCAAAATAGTTAATGAGACAGTAAGAGAAGACCTAATGTTTTAAATGAATTCTTCTATGCCCAGAAATAAACATGTTACTTAAAGAATTCATCTCAGCCTGAAGCAAGCTTTTAGAGTCAGAGTCCATCCTTTGCCCCATTATATGGCTCCATTTTAGCAACCTGGATGAAGACGAAGCCATATATTTCTAGTTCTGGATGTACTGGATGTAAAAGTTGATAAGGATAGCCAATCTGTTGTGTGCCAGATAATATTTTACAAATCCTGATAGTCTGTAATGATCAAACATATTCCTGTGAAAAGCACCTAAAAGAAGGTTCAGCTTACTGAAATTCAGTACAAATTATTGTGTCCCATGACTGCTAAAAGCCAGCCTTAAAACTGTCTGAGGGGAGGGGATGGAATGGTAGGATAACTAAGGGTAGGATTATCAGATGACCATCTGGATAAACCTCCTTCTCTCAGGAATAAAAGAAAGTGGAATGAGGAGATGGAAGATTTTCAACTGAGACAAAGAACATCTGAGAGTTCCAGAAGTAGATTTTAAGAAAGCTGACCTAGATTGTATACTGACCAGGCCCAGTCCTCTGTCAGATTTGTATTGTAGGATCTTTATAACTGCAGTTACTCACAATCAGTTTAACTGTGCAAACTCTCTCTGTTCTCTAGAATGTGTAGCAATAAAATTCTGAAAAACCAAAAGGCCCTGACCTCAGAAGAGGGCAGAAGATACGGTGTACTGCAGTTATCCTCAACACAAATGTTTTTACTTGTTTTTACTGAATATATTCTGATACCATGAGATATGAAGGCATTCTACACAGATTAGTGAAGTATGCTAATAATGCCTCCCACAAACAACTGGAACTTCAAGACATGTTCACAAAGTGAATGAATGAATGCATAATAAGTGAGTTCAGCCTAACCATCTCCATCTCTATTAGTATGTATGGACCACTTCTGTCATTTTTCTTTTAGGAACTCTAAGATATGATCATTCAGAGATACTCAACGTACATTCCATTTCCTGCAATGCCTATAGGACACAATATAGCACCACACTCAGATGACTCTAAAACATGCCACCATTCAGCTGAAAAACTCTCTTTCAGCAAATTCTACCTCCTTAGAAAGGGACTGCTCAAAAAGTCTACGCTTCAAAATTATCTAGCCATAGATACTGTGAGGGCACTTTTAACCTCATTTAAGCCAAACTTCCAAACTAAGACAAGTTTAAAAAGTGGTATAATTTTTATAAGATGTTCGAAAAATAAAACCACCAGATACATAGGGCCATTTACCTTGGCTTTTTTGAGCAGGTCAACTATATCAAGGTTCATGGATGCCAGCTCCCTGCTTGGCATGCTCTGCAGCTGTGTAATGATGAACAGCTCACAGATGTGCTGCAGTCGGGACACCTGGTACATCTCAGCACAGATCAGGAGACACATAGCCTGGAAAATACCGGCTGGTGCAAAAGGGAAATAAGAGAGAATGGACAATAAAACCATTTCTTTTCTGACCTAAAACAAAACAACAACAGACATTTTTTTTAAATTCTGACTATATCATCCAATGTAGATGAAAATGCCTGGAAGAAGCCTTGAAGGAATGAGTCAGCATTCTAAACTACAGCTCCATTTTAAAAAGTACTAATTTAAGCCTTCATACTCAGAAGCAAATCTATTCCATGTGTGTGTGTGTATATGCATGCATTTTAATTCACAGAAGGAGAGCCTACAGTTCCCTTAAAAATCAATTCCAGGGCTATCGTGTAATTCTTTCTGTGAGCTAAACTAAATCCTTGCAAGTTTTCTTTTCCTGGTTTTAGTCTCCAGGTTTGTTGGTTTTCTTTTTATTGTGGTAAAATAAACATAATATAAAATGCACCATAAACCATTTTTAAGTGTACAGCTTAGTGGCATTATGTACATTCACACTGTTGTGCAAAAATCACTACCATGCATCTCCAGGACTTGTTTCTTTTTCAAAGACTGAAACTTAATGCTTAAGCAATCAACTCCCCATTTCCCGCTTCCCTGGTGATCACCCAGGTAGTTGTTAACACTTCCCTATATGTTTGATTTCTCACATGATTCTCTTTTTTATCCCTCCCTAAATGTCTTACATTTTTTGTAGCTAGGAACCAAGAACACTGTGTATGATAAATATTTAACATAATGAACAGATTACACTTCTTTCTATGATTTTCCCAAGGCAATATTCCAGTATCTGGATAAAGTTTTTGATAGTTCATTTTGACTCATTTTCCTTCCACACTTCTACCAATATTCTATGTGCTTTGTCCTATAGTTATTTCTCTTAGGGGCTTTTTTTCTAACTATCAAGATAAAACCTAAAATTCGAAGTTTCAATTACTCTAGTAGAAAGATGATTGAGAACCCAAATTTTCTTACTATTTCAAATCTAGTCAAAATTTGTATTTAATATACAAATTTGCCAGTATTGAAATAATAAAGAAGAATACACCTTCTGATGAGAATCAATGCTTTTATTTTTACTACACAAAATTGATAAGGCAGTCTTTAACACTGACAGTAACAACTGTAAGGTACCAGAATACTCTATAGCTAGCTGCAAAATCAGAATTCATTCAATTTAAAAGGAATTTTCTCTTTTGGAATTTCTAAAACCTTTCACTCATGACTTGTTTAAAACTTAGGAGATTTCAATAACAAACACTGGAAATTTTATAAATCTAAAACTTAAAGCAGTAAATCTGAAGAGAGGTAGGGTCTGAAATGTGTATTTCCTTTTCGTGTTTGCTAGGGGCACCTGGCCAGGTTCTGTAATCAAGGTCTGAGGCATCTGAACAAAGCCACCAGGGACTTATTCTAACTGTGTCTTTTGTGAGTGCCATCTGGTGGCCAAAGGATGAAGACTAATTAAAGGGGGTTTCCAAGCCTACACCCCAAGATTCTAGGCCTGTTGAAAGGATTTTCTACTTTCTCCAAGGTGTCTCAGCTAGAGGAAATTGGCAAGATCTGCTCTAACCCGTAATTGTTATACACAGCTGGTTCCTAGTCAAAGATTGTTCTAGGTCAGTGAATAAGGAAATAAATCTTACAGCCCCCTGGACATTCTAAACATCTTAAGAAAAACTTTCAGACAAAATAGGTGGCAAGGAAATAAAAATTGTTGAGATATTATCTAACATACTGCTCACCTGGGCAACAGGAGTCTGTGTACAGGTATTCTAAGAATGACAGGAAGGTCTCTTTGGAAACACCATAAACTGGAATCAGAACACTCTTTGCTTCCATGTAATTCCCATTAAACATGGCAGCCATCACTTCACAACGGGCCACCAGGATGGCCCTGTGGGCTGGCACTGTCGTACCTACACGGTTCAAAAGGGAAACAAAGTTAAGGAAGGTAAACTTGCAGAGCTATTATTCTAGCAATTCTTCTTCTAACAGAGCAGGACTGCCCTACGCACAGCTAAGCTATCAAAAAGCAAATTGCATGTTGATAAACAGCATCAATCCAGAGACTTTTTAGTTTTTAATTGAAAAATATTGTTGAAACAAATTTGCAACTCAGGCAATTAGTTACTTAGTTTATATTTCCTTAAGGTACAAACACTGAAATGAAACATTCTGCTTCAGGTTTTTACAGTGAAATATCTATCCTTTCCAACTGGCTTGAAATATCACTACCCACCCCTGCCCTTGTGCCTCCCAAGCAAAAACCAAGCAAAACTCCGATTACCCTTCTTGGACAAACTTCTACAAATGTCCTGACCAGGCTTCCCCTTAACAGAAATAGGACACTCTCGGAAGCAAACCAGCCTAGGCCTAAGCAGTCCACATACCACTGTAGCAATGGCAAGGGAATCTCTCGTGGAGCCAAGAGGAGCATTTCAGAACTTATGGAAATTTTGGAAGGGAATAACTTAGTCCCCAGATGTCTCCTCAGCATACTACCTCTTAACAGCACACTACCACACATACAGCCTCTTTCCTAAATGAACAGCGCCTGCTTCTGGGAGAGCCAGAGCCACTTTAAGGTGGGCCCTATCCCTCACTGAAGCTCATTAAACTAAACTGACACGGGAAAGCTTGCTAAGGCCTCCAGCCACTGTGCCACCCCACCAAGGCAGCGCCAGATGGGACACATGGGGCTCAAGGGCTTATGAGTGGAGAAGCAGCTCTTACCACTCCCACAAGCTAGGAAACTAAGAATCCACAGCCAGCCTTCAGTTCAGTCTAATCAGTTGAATAGATCACTGCAGAGCACCCACCATGTGGCAATCGCTGCATTTGGTATTGATGATACCAGAGAAGAAAGGCCTTGGGGCAGTCAAGCTTTTAGTTTATTAGAAGACACCACAGCCAGTGGAACAAAGTTCTTCCCTTCCAGGAAATAACTCTTATGAGCCAAACCATGGGTCTTCACCCATGCATCCTTAAGCTCTCATACTTCTCAGGGGCATATATTCTCAAAATTTTTTAAATGATCAGATTCTTCACCCTCTTTAAATCCAAGTCACACACCTTTGGTACAGAAAAAAAAATAGTCCCATCTTAAAACCAGTGATTTTCTCCAGAGTCAATAATCCCTCAGGATCCACAAGCAATGGCCACCATTGCCAGCCTGAGCCCAGTGCATGGCACTGTGATTTGCACAAGTGCACCTCCACAGGGAGAAGGTGCCAAGGTGGGCACTCCCACCAGGTCATCACACACATACTAGAGAGCAGGCATCCTCACCTCTCAGGAGAGCGCTTGCTCCTCCCTGCAGCTTTGCCTTTAGGCCACCTGCCCTCAATATAATGCATTCATCAAAGGGGACAACTGGTTTACCTGATTAAAGCACACGGCTATAATTGTATAATTGTATACAGCAACTAACAAAGAATTCAAACAGGTAATGCAATTTGACTTGTAATTTTAAGGTTTTAAAATCTTAAATAGGACACCATGAAAAAAAATTTTAGAAGCATGGCTTAAACAAACTAGGTAATTTATCATTTGGATTAAGCGAAGGAAATTGATATTGGCCAAAAAACCAAGCAGATAGTAGATGGGGAAGGAATTTGATAAGTAACCATAGAATTTTAAAAGAAATTTTCCACTGATAATATAGTCACAACAGAGTTACAACACAGTAATACTCATACCCTAAAGCATTTTCAAGCCCTTGGCAAGCTTGGAATTTAAGAAAACCATTATACCTCCACTTCAGAAAACCACAACTTCTGTTTCTCACCTTTTCCAACTACTGTTTTGGTGTTACAAATTAGTCTACTGTGATTCTGTAATGCAATACCTCAGTATAATCTCATTTGTAAGCATTTCTGTATATGCTGTATAAATGTATAAAATATACTGCATGAACATAATCCAGTGTTTTATAGGATATAGCTGAAGAATTAAAAGAGGGAAAAAGACATCAACTTTCTAGTTGAAAGATAAACATGTTCTTTGAAAATGTCAAAGCCTAAAGCACCTTTCCTTAGTAGTATTTATTCGCTTTTACAATTTAAAGAAACTTTTTAAAGAAGATAAAGAGAAATAAAGTTTAAAAGCCCAAGTTTTCTAGCAGTTTTGCACAGAATATGGAAGATCTTTAGTTTTACTTTATACTAAAATAAAATTCTACATTTGTCATACCTTCTCCACACTGCTCTGCAAGTTTCAAAAATGAAATTTTTAGAGGTTTTTCTTTTTATTCTGAAAACAGGAACTTGCCTAGTTCAAGAGCGATTTAGAATATGTTTTATATAAAGTAAAGAATGACAAACTAATTTTGTAAAAGTATTTTTCATGAGATACATATTCAAGTGTCAAAAGGAAGCTCAAACCTTTCTGTATCAGGTCTAAATGTTTACCAAGACTAGTTTTAGAACTGATACAGTAGCTTTTTAAAAATATTTATTTAGTGGAAAAAGATAGACACCCAAAAAACAAACTGGGGTGGTAGTAAAAAATATATATAGTAACTATCTATTACAGAGAGGGTCAATAGGCTTTATGACCCGTGTCAACTCCATCCAGTTGTTGGAGATGGCTTGAGACATTTCAAAAGGATTTGCTGAGGCCCTGGATTCAGTAGAAAAAAAATGCAGTCATCTACCAATGTTGGTTGCCATTGAAGGGGGAGGGGAGTGCAGGTTACCAGTCAGGCCTCTGTACACACCTTTACATGCACCATCTCAATTCCTGTGACCACTCCACCAGGGAAAGATTAATATCCTCATTTTACAGGCAAGAAAACAAAGGATAAGACATGAAAAGTAATACGGCCAACTACATAGTAAATATGTATCCAAGCAAGATTCCCAACCAAGTCTTTCTGGCGGCTGTCACTATCATCTTATCAACCTTGACACTAAAAAGGACCTTCTAGACTTTATATGGTTCACTTTCTACAGTAAGAAGACTTACTGCCAGACATGTTAAGTGACTTGCCCAAGGACACACACCAGTTGGCATGTAGAGCCAAGGCTGGAGCTAGGGCTCCAGAGCAAAGGCTCAGCCCTTCTCAAGAGGAGACAATACTGCTGCCTTGTACACACTGGAGCTCTCCTCTCCATGCAATTCAGAAGCTAGGCTTGTTTCTCCTCCAGCTGATGGCAGAGAAGCAGTTGCTATCCCCTGCTTCCAGCCATTCCTGCTTCTCTCTGCTCCCAACTTCCTGCAAGGCCTTGGTTTTTGAGCTGGGGAGGCTGCAAAGAGTACCACAGTGATTGCTGCTCAACTTCAGCACAGGCATACAACTAGCCTTTCAGACCCAGCCTCTGCATGGAGCATGGTGGGGGCAGGAGCAGGTGCCTGCAAAAGGGTTGGCTGGGTGGAATCACAGAAGAAAAGCAAGAAATTATGAGGAGAAAGGATTCTCCACATCACTGCTTATTTCTTTTGTCTTAATATTAATGTATTTTCCTGTACTGCATATTCCCTTTGAAAATCTTTTCAGTAGGTTACACTAAAAGTGTTTGGTGCCATTAGCAGGTGCTAATGACTCCAATACAAATTATAAGCAAATTTTGTCTCTTGTTAACTTTTTTTCCAAATCATTTTTTATGTATTTCAAGATCACTCTTACTGTACCATTTTCAGTGTCCCATGCTCACACTGCAGGCAGTGCTGACAGTTAGCTTATCAGAAGGCACTGTGGGAAGCTTCCAATTCACTTTTTTTGTCTTGGCAAGTAGCCAAAGCTAAAATAAATCTTTCTGGGGAAAAATTTTAAAAACAAATGACTGTTAGCTGCCATAAATTTCTATCATAAAATGAGAATTATATCTTCCTTTTAGTAATAGCCCACCTGAAATTGTACTTAATTCATTTAAAAACAACTCCTTCTAGCCTGCTTGCATAGTTGAACGTATCTAACAGTTCATTTTTAAGATTATGCTTTTAATCTACTAAAGTGACAAAATTATCCAAGCAAATAATCAATAACATTAAACAACTCATTAGCATTAAACAACTCAAAGGCATTAAAACAACTCATTTTCATTAAAATTAGGTATCATTACCCTCCTATAGAGATACAAAGCAGCTCTCAGTTGCTCAGAGTGCTGTGAGCTAATAAATGTAATGGTATCTATGGATGCCTGATGTAAGCATGACCCTCAACCCATAGTTAGTTCCTTTTGCTCAAACAAAAAGGAAGAGAACTGAACAAAATATACCAGATGTAGCATACATGAAGGGGGTTAGTTTCAGATGATCTGAAAACTAGGATCTTAAGAAAATACATAAACAAAAACATACATGAAGAAAAATATCTGACAATATTTTCACTGTATTACAAATCACTCCATCCCTGGCTGGCCCCTAGAAGTTAATGAAGCATTACAGTAAGGGGAAAAAAAACTATGGAAATATGAATTTATTTTAATAAAGTACTTCATTTCATGCTAATCTACATCCTGCAATAGAAAACAATCACTCTTTCACTCAAAATGTTAAAAGATGAAATAAAAAGTTAAGTAATAAAATAAGAAACAAAAATAATGAACTTTGTAAAAATTAAACCATACCTTGTATTTCGAAGACAACATCAGCAAGCATTGGTTTATTAAGGAAAAATTTGAGGGAAGTGCTATAAAACCACAGAGGTTTTCTGGCTTGATAGGTTTTGCAATTCCTCAGGCAATTAATCTATAAGGAAAAACAAAAATACAAGGGGAAATGTTGTACAATAGGCTTTGATAACATGTATGGGATGGCTAGAGAATTTGGAAAGCTGCATTAAATGTCTAAAGAAATAATGATACCTACTTTACGGCATCTCTGATCATAGCTCTCATGAGAACTCACCCTTGAGAGTCACATCTGCGCCTGCTAATGAGCAGCACTCCACTCCACAGCATTCACAGCAGCGAATGAATCGTCTGTGTGAAAACTCAACTCTAGGCTGAGAAGTTGTGGGGCCCCGAATCCCTGAGGGTCTATGTTGTCTGAGAAACAGACAGTAGTAGCCCAACCTTGTACGAATGCCTAGCAAAATAAGTTTGCATATACAACCTGCTTGTTTGTTCACTAATTTTGTAATTTAAAATTAGGTAATTTTGTAATTAAGGAAAAATACATAATTTTCCACTATCAGATCATGTCCTCCTGCTTACTAGATCAATATTAAAGAACCTGAGTGGGATGAACTGGTTCATCTCTGCCTTAATCTGTAATCTTTTAATCCTGAATATCTTTGCTGCCCACAGCTGGGATTGCTGGAATCTATGAAAGGTTGCCAGGATCTCTGATCTGGAGCACCAGAGAACCTCTCCCATGACCACACTGTCTGTCCTCGCATCTGCTGACTCCAGCTGGAGGCCTCCAGCACCAGTTCCTCTGTCCCACCTCCTGGTTTCCACCCTCCTCTCCTCCCCATTTGGGATTTCGTGCTTTATTTATCCTTTCTGTAATCCTTCAGACACTCCTTGTTCCAACCCCAGAAGTCGAGGACCAGCCCCCACCTCTTCCTTCACTCTCCACCCATTTCCCTTGCAGAATCTCAGAACTCTGGCTGGGTCAGAACTCTAACCTCTGCTTGGTTAGCTAGGGAATACAGAAGGCTTTATCCCTATGAGATAATCAAGCATGCAACTTTAGCAATAAGGATAAATGGTACCTATTTCCCCTCTCTATTAATCTACTATGGTGGGAAGTTAAAAGTGTTTGGAGAGAGGAAAAGTAAATCCTTCCTCCCAAGGAAGAATGAAACACTTCAGAATGATATCCATGAGCAATCCAGAGAAACAAAACAGGTACATACAAATCCTGATCCTACAGAGTACATTCCAAGATCATGAGAACTCTTTGGACTTAAATTTTGAGGAATCAGAAAGCATCCTCTCCAACAATTTAACTGTAACTGGACAAATTCAACAGCCTTCATTCTTCACACAGACTGCATATTCCTGGACCTCCAAGGAAATGTTTCAGAGGGGTAGGATTCACAAAATTTTAAAGACGTGACTCACATGTACTTTAATTCTGACATGAACTAAAATCTGAGAGAGTAATAATAGTGTTTGTGTTTAGAATAGTTAAATAGCAAAACAAGACTTAGAAAAACATGTATTATCGACTTTTCTTATGACCCAATATTATATTCATTGTAGTATATCTGTTATAATTTAGAGAAAGTCAAAGTAAACTGTCTTACAATAAACTAATTTACCTTTCCTGGTGTCTTTAAAATGCATTTAACTTTCTCAATTACACTTGAAACATCCCCAGAATCTTTCAACTTCTTTCTGATATCTTCTTCCAATTCTTCCCACTGAAAAGCACCTGTAAATAATATGTGGGTTTTTCTGTTAAAACAGGAAGAAAAATAAACCTCTTACAGATATCAGTGTTCCTTCATTTTCAGTATTTTCTCTACCAAATAAAAATCTTTATAATTATGCTAAAACATGCTCTTTCCCCTAAATTATTTCTCAAAACCTGAAGTCTTCCCCCTGGAAAGCCACCACCTCTCTATAATAGGAGGTCAGCAAGTAATCCCTGCAATGGCTAGAATGTGAGTTGCCATCACAAGTGACCCAGCACACAAATTATTTAGTTGTCGTGGGTAAGAAGGCAGATGTGGTCTTTTCCACGATTGGATTAAATCACACTACTCACGGCAAACAGTGACTCTCTCTGTTTTAAAGTATTAACTTAAAATGTTAATCAGGTAGAGGAACAGGCAGTAGAACAGAACACATTCAGAAGGTCTTGTGCATTGTCAGCGTTAGATAAGATGTTCGACAGCCAACTCTATAGAACCAACGAAAGAAGGGAGCTGGATAATTTCCTGATGAGCCGCATGACCGCGGCACTGGAGCAAAATCACCCTACCTAGTCTCTCGTCCCCTTGTCTTCACCCCAACCCACTTCTAAGATATTTCTTCCTAGGCTTACTTTACTTCTGTCTCACACTCTGTCAGCCCCTTTTCCTCTGAGTTTTACAAAACTCCTATTCCATGGTCAGCAAAAATTTGCCTTTTCCCCAAGAACTCCTCTCACTTGGCCTGAAGCAGCATCCTATCCAGCCTCCCTGCTCCCTAACGCCATTTGAATCCCCACTGAATCTATCCCATTACTCAATGCTGACAAGTTTCCAAAGGTACAGTTCTGATCATCACATGAGATTACCCCCACCCATCCCACGGCTTATCTAAAGGCCTGATTCCTAAAAATGTAATTCAAAAAGGTGTAGTACGGGCGAGCATAATTGGAAGACCCAGGTTCTGGCTCTATCTCTGACCTTCATTACTAGTGCGACTTTAAGCAAGGCTCTTCACTTCTCTGGCTAACTCAAGATTCTTTCCCATCTGCTCTCAATGTGTTTTTTCTGTTTCCCTAATGTATACAGAACTTTGCCCATGGACAATGGGGAATGGCACAAAATAACCTTTTATAGAATCAATGAGATCGGGCAATAGTAGCCAGCCTGTAGCAACTAGAGCCAAAGCTACTCTGAAGAGTCAGACTGGTAGTCCAGGGAACCTCAGACCTCATTTCAGCAAAGCCCCGCAGTGCTGGACACTCTTGGTATCTTTAATCTTCTCATCTGGCCCTCATGAGGACTACAGTATACCATGAGGAGAGGGCAAGAGGCAAGAAGACCCCTGATTTGAGGCGTTTGCTATCTCTGTGGTGTAAATGCCCAACCACAGCCAGATTCAAGCTACCAATATGGTGTCCCAGAATTGGGAAGAGACACACACAATAGGCACTCACAAGCTAATGCCTGCCAGCTCCAGCACACCACAGCTTCCTCCTTCCTTTGATGGCTCTTTTTCTGACTTCACTGTTAGCTCTCCTTCCTCAAATTCCCAAAGGTGTGCAGTCTAGAAGTCTATGTTTTTGTTTTCATGTTCCTGCACTAATGAGTTTTAACTTTAAGGGCACACACACTTTTTATAATGATAAATTCCTTGGATCATCTCTCCAAAAACTTTTTCATGCATACATAGATATTAAAGCCTATATAAAAATAGCAGGTGCAGTAGAGCCTTTAGAAGCCAATGGACCCCAGATCAAGAATATTTTACTCCATGCCAGGGATTCTCAACTACTGTGCATTACATTTACCTGAAGATCTTTCATAAAATACCATTGGTTGAGGTCTCATTCCCAAACCAATTAAATTAGAATTTTGGAGGCTGGAGCCTACACATCAATTTTAAAAGTCTCCCAGTTAAGTCTAATGTGTCCTGAGTGCTGAGGCTCACTGCTCTTCTCTTCCTTCAGATATTCATCTGGTATCAACACCCAGGATGAGTGGTATGCGGCAAATAGGTGTAAGTATTTTTGATGATCTACACTCATGCATGCCGAAGGAAAACTAGAGGAAAGCACAGACACTGTCTCTCAAAAGTAAAAATACATTAAGCAAAGAACACCTACATAATATCTCTATTCAGAAGTTTATCTGAAGGAAAACAAGAAATAAGACTAAACCCATGGAATTAATAGCAGGTAAATCTCTCCAGGCTACTGATCTGTTTGAGAACAGACACAGAAAGATTCACTAACTTAAAATGAAAGTAAGACTAGTTCATAAGGGTATGCTAATGACTGGCTGTTTTCATAATTATAAATGTCATCTTTGACACTTTTAGGTCCTAATAGAGCAATAACCCTTAGACTAGGATTTTCTTTTTTTTTTTTAATCATGGTAAGAACATTTAACAAGCCATTCTATCCTTTTAACAGAATTTTAAGTGTAATAAAGTATTGTCAACAGGCATGACACTGTACAGTAGATCTCTAGAATTTATTCTTCTTGCATAACTAACTGGAATTTTCTTTGGTCAACTTCTCAGAGCATTTATTTTCTTAGAGTCTTAGAGAGAATGGTATACTCATGCACACTAAGCTGTGTTTTTATGCAGTACAGAAAATAGCATGTCACAGAATAATTCTAAGAGCTGGAGAATACTATGCAAATTCAAGATGAAAGCTCATTTCCACATGTTCATTTACTCTGGCGGCATTTCAATAAATGATGTGAAATTCTAAGGGCCATCTGTGGCAAGAGGAGCTCAAAGCAAAATTCTTGAGGTTCTTACAAATATTTCAGTTCCTAACCATCTAAGATCATGTGAGTCAGGAATTTGCAAGCATAAAACTGTATTAAGTATTGTAAGAATGTCACAATTATATGACATTTAAGGATTACTCCATGAAGACCAGGAAACTGCTGGCCTCACTCTTCACAATACTACTCCTTCAGTGTTAGTTATTAAGTACTTATACATTATGCAGTGTTAGCTGTTATCCAACAGAAAACTAACATGCAAAAACAGACATACTTTTACTGTGTCCATTTACTCAGAAATCTGAATAGGGAAATAAACCGAAGGCTTATATACAGGTGTAATGTGTTGACCAGATTATCAGGCCCTTCCTATAGAAAGAACCCACATGTCCATGGTGACACAATATATACAAAATTTCAAATTCCTAAAGATTATAAGAGGTATGTTAATTTTTTTAAAGTAAGGTATTCTTTGTAATTTGGTTCATTTAAAAAAAAAACAGGAGATAGATTTAGTATGGTTTTTCAGCCCATGTTTGTTCAGGGCAAATATTCCTAAGAATGCCAAGTCATGGACTTCTACCTCTCTGCATTACTAAGCCAGCTGACACAAGTACAAACAGCTTCTGTCCTCAAAGGTTCCCTAATAACCCACAGGCAGACCAGGGTTTCTGTGAGGAAACCATTGCATAACTGGGTCTTAAAACTTGAGCTCAGCTCAAAAGTTTTTAAATGTTCAACAACAAGAAAAACAAACCAAAAAACCCATAAGGCTGGTCTCTTTAATGAACGTAATGAGAAAAAATTGTAGGTTTAAAATTTTTGATTTGATAAAAAAATTTTTTATAAACACTAACTTATTCATAAAGACTAGAGGATAAAATAAAACACCGATAAATGTTTAAACATTTGAGAGTAGGAATCTGCGTTTTTTCTCTTAAATTTTCACAATTTTTCAAAATTGTCTTTACTGTGCAAATGCAGCTTTAATATTTTTTAAAGCTGCTATTATGTAACTTTTGCTTGATTCTGATGTTATACTCTGTAAATACTTAATGAATAATGTATAGGTACCTTCTGAAGCCTTTACTTTCCCTTCTCCTCAACCAGCATTAGGGTGTTTCTGCAGCCCAGGTCAATGGCATATGGCACTGCTCATATCTGACACCACCTCTTATCTGGACCATGACATACAAGGAGAGATCAGAGCAGAAATGCAACAGCTCAGTGTCGGATTAGGAAGCCTGTGCTCTGAACTGGTCAAGGGCTTGTAGCAAAGCAAGCCCCCCTTGCCATCGTGCCCCTCTGCCCTCCAATCGCTATTCCCAGGCTCACTTAGTTTCTACCCAATCACTAAGCATCCACTTTCCCCAACTTCAGGCTAGGGCTACAACAGAGCACTGGCAGTTTGGAAGAGCTCACATCAGTCAGTCTTGTGGCTGACCCCACTTTGACTTTGTGCCCCAAGACTGGTAAGTGGGTTCCTCTCTCGGGCCCCTGGGCTGAGTTCAAGGTCCTTGTCCCTGGGCTGTGGCTGACACCCAGTACTTAAGAGTGGTAGCTGCTTGTGATCCAGAGCATCAGAATCTCTTGGGACACTGTCAGAAAGGCAGATCTCCTGGCCCATCCACGGCCTACTGAAGGAGAACTTAAGCATTAACAAGATCCCCAGCTGACCTGTATTCATGTAAAGGTTTGAAAAGCACTGGTCCAAATGATGGACAAGCTACCACCCCAACCACCTTTTGTCAGAATACTGGCCTTCCTGAGGTTGAGCTCCAGAGTAATGGGCCCTCCTGATTGGACTCCGGTCATGCCTGCTCTAGTCCATCCTCCCACCATGACCAGAGAGATGAGCTTTCTAATACCCAATCTGAGCACACTTAAAATTTTACAACAGCTTCTAGGAACTGGCCTTGCCAGCCTCATTTCCTAACAGCCATTACCTCCCAGCCTATGTTCTAGCCAGAGCAAACTACCTGTGGTTCCCAGAAAAGAGCAGTTACCAAAGATTATGTTTTCCTTAATACAAATTTCCCAATATATTTATTTCAAACAGCATTACAACACATGAAACACTAATGATAATTAACTGACTCTAAGAAAGGGAGCTAGGGGATAAGGAGGACTTCTCTTTTTCCGCTCTTTTTCCATCTTCATGTATTAATTTTGCAATTAAAAAAATCTCTCCTGAGGAGAAAGACAAGCAGGTCCGTCACTGGAGATACATCTAGCTATTTTACTGCTATCATAGGAGAGAGGATATATAACTAACTTCAAAGTGCTCATGTGCTTTTGAAAGTACTCAATGGATATTGTGGGAAACTTGCTGAATAATTCATACTTTCAACAGTAAATTCATTGAAAAGTCAAACATTTGCTTCATAGTTTTCTAAATATACCATTAAAGAGACTTTTCTTTTATTATGTAAACATTTTGGTTTTTCAAAATTAGTCTTAAATTATAAACTGCGAGACTCTAAACATAAAAATCTGTAGTACTAAATAACATCTTTAGTGTGTTTATTCATATGATGATTCATAGCCACTAGAGTATGCTCACTCATTCAGGCAGCACAAGGAACCTGCCATAGTGCAGGCACCGTGGTGATGTGCTCTGTAGAGGTGGATGTTTAAGCCATTTCTAAGCCAATATCCACTAAATAATGGATTCCAGATCTAGCACCACTCTACTCCAATATGTTTTTCAATCCATCTAAATCTGCATCCTGCAACTATACTTTTCAAAACCATTAATTTTTACTTAAACTCACAAAATTACATAATCACAACCCAAATAAAAAAAGTAAAATCTATTTTTAACATCAATAATTTCAACCGAAGGCAACCCCAAACTTTCTTACCTATATGAAATCATATATTTTTTAATTTGCCTACCTTTATAAACTTCTTATCTGGCCCCAGTTCTTAAGTCTAAAAATCTAAAAATGTATTTTCTCCAAACACATTCCAGAGAAGGAGTGACCTCAACCTAATTCTTCATCAGCACATGATTCCAAGTGGAAAAAGAAAATTAAAGAAGAGAGAAGTTCTCAGAACATTTACATTTAGTTTCTTACTTTAAAACTCATTTTACATCCATTCTTTTCCATTCTTATATGCGACACTTAAATGTGGTGCCTTCAATTCATTTGCTAAAATAACTCAGATAAAACTTGTAATAGAATATATAGCTGTTACTGAGGTTTTAAAAGGACAAGAAGAAAAATAAATGATAAGATGAATATTAAAAAGATAAGGGCAAGCAAAACAGAAGGAACAAAATAGCAGTAGATTCATAGACACTGAGAAGGGACTAATGGTAACCAAGGGGAAGGGGTTAAGGCAGAGAGGGGAATAAAAGGGTACAATAATTCACCATCACAAAATAAATTGGTCACAGGGATGGTAGTACAGCATGGACAATAGAGTCAATGATTATCTAACATCTTTCTACGTTGATAGTAACGAGGATTTAATAATATGGGTAACTTGAAACACTTTGAAACAACATAAAATTGTATATCAAGGACATTTTAATTAAAAAAAAAAGATAAGGGCACAGTAAGAAAAGAAAGTAAAGTCTAAAATAGTCATAGCCAAAGCTGATGAGACCTCAGCTTAAATTAACTTCAGATACTATTACCAGTTCCTAAACCTAATGCAATGACCCTGCTAAATGATTTCAATTCCCTCCCAAACCTGAGTCAAATGGAAAAGTGAATAAATAGCTAGGTTTCACAATGCACAATTATTTTCATATACACTTAGAAAATTTCAGTTTTTCAAAGTTAAACTGGACAATAAATTTCTGTACTTTGACATTTTGGGTATTTAAAAAAAAATGAAATACTAACACACCTGCTCAGTAGCAAAAGAAATTATTGGTTTTACAAGTAGATTTAAAAGCAACTAACTTGTAAGGAAGACAGAAAGCATGGATGAATTCCCATACATAAAACAAATACTATTTCATGTATAGTCTTCACTTCAGATGGTAGGAAGAAGGTAAGTGTAAAACTAACCAATACACCTGGGAACCACAGGAACACTTCATTTCAAACTTTTGAAAGAATTTACCAGACCACTTGACAAGATACCTGAATAAATGAAGTGCAGAATGTCCGATAAGCAAGAACAGAAGAGGGCGTCTTTAACAATGACTCGCAATGGTGGGTTGCCTGGAGAATCCTGGCCAGCACCTGGAAATGGAGTATCTCTGTTTATAGCAAAGAGATCCTGGGTGGTTCGGATGATACTGGAATCCTGAATGTCAGTGGGACTCTTCACATTGAAAAGCAGCATGAAGACGTGGCTTACGGCACAAAGAACGATCTTGTGGGCCTCTACAACTTCCTTAAAATCTGGGTTGTAAAATACCACATCCACACACTGACAGCAGAACAGCAAATTATTTAAATCAGAGTTATAATGTGATGCTTCAGCTTTTAAGACAGGCATTTTTTCTGTGTCAAAAAAGAAGATAAAAATTATGAGCTACTCTTCGGGTCTACAAACCCAATCATTTCAGGTTTGTTTTAAATACAACAAACCATATATTTTCGTATTATTAGGTTGAACTGTATGAAATTGCCAATTTAAGCCAGTTTTGACAAATAAAAAAAGAGCAATTCTGTATAGCTACCTAATCATGTATATAAATTATCATATACAAATTATCAGAGATAACACAGACACACAGAAATACTGAACAACATGGGGATTAGGAGCACTGACCCCCACATAGTCAAAAATTCACATATAATTTTGGACTACCCCAGAACAACGACTAATAGCCTACTGTTGGTTTTTTTTTTTCTTTTCTTTATTTTAGGAGAGCAAGGTACAGGCTTTTATTTAGAGATAAAGTGAAAGGACAGAGCTTCTGGCTCACGCCAGGAGGGGACAAGAGAGTCCTACTGTTGGTTTTATGATAGTAAATGATAAAATAGACTAGTATACATAGATTTTACACATTCATGAACTATCTAACTTTTTTAGTTCTTTTGATATTTCTAGACTATGTAGTTCATCTGAAAGTTTCTTCAAACTGTTGCTAATCTCCAAAAAATAAAAATCTTCCATGCAGCTCAAAACCGTGTTGTGCAAGGGTCAACTATGTTTACCTTTAATGTTGCAAATAAAAAATATACTAATGCTATAAAGAGCAATAAAATAGTATTTCTCACTATTTGTGTGTCCCAAAATCAAATATTTCTTTGAATACTGAATTTTAGTATGTTGATAGTTATCATTCTTTACTTTCACCTGATAAAGATTCAAAGAAATTACGGAATAAGTTCTGAAGAACATAACTGCACATCTGAAGCTGTTTCCTCTGGGATTGGAAGTGGAGGTGGAGGGCTAAACTGTTAAAATTGCAACTTCTCAAAGCCAGAGCTCAGTCTTGGATTCCATTGTTTGGAACTGTCTTGACCATTTTGATCCTAAAATTAATACTCTTTTCCTCTTATTAAAAAAATACGCTTCCCCAGAACTGGCTTTTTCCCTTCAGCAACTCAGGGAGAATGTTGGTTAGGCTCCCTAATTTTCAAAAAGGATGTAACCTTCTATTTCCTAGTTTGATTATTAAGGATAGAGTAACCCTCAGTCAATTCAAAATATCCACACAGAGGACCACACCCTAGGGACTCATCATAGACCCTAACTATAAAACGTCTCCTGTCAACTTTTCACCTGAGTTAAGGGAAGTGTTATCTGTGAAGGGTTGCAATCATCTAAATCAGTGGAATTCAATCTTTAGCAATGACAATTCTTACTCTAAAATAAAACTCTAACCTATAAGACAGACAAGGACAGGGTACTCTGCCGACTAGGCTCCTCCTGAACTGGACCCCACTTACCCTCCTCTCCACTGCCCAAGGCAGCTTCACAGACCCTTGAAGGCTGAGGACAGTCTGAAAGCCATGTGCCCCACAGCCCAAGATCTGTGCTTAGAACAAGTCAGCACCAGAATGAATGTGTACTGTCCTGGACCCCTGGGTGTTCAGTGTGATACCTAACAGGACACAAGAAACAGACTTCTGACAGCTGAAACTGCACTTGCTGATGGGACAGTTTTGAAGGCCTTGACCACTAGACAGCCCAGTGCCCCAAATGAAGATCCATATGAGAAATTTTAGTGCTAAATGATATGAAATGATTTGCTTCCTCTGAGGAACTTGCATATTGTCTCTTCTTCAATAGTAAGAACTAAGATATAATCTACCTATCTACATTAATTATTTGGCTATTCCCTACCCACCTTCTCATCCAGAAAGCATACAAAGCCTCATTGTTTGCTACATACCCAAACATCTCTGCCTTCCACTTTGCACTCCAGGAAGTTCAAAACCAAGATCATTTATAATCTATATATTTATATGTATTTTTAAACCTGGAATTGACTTCCCATACTAATTTGTATTTTCTTGATTTTTATTTATACTCATTTATTTAACAAATACTTATCAAGTACCTACTTTTTAAAACAATATAACAAACTGATCTGGATAGTTCTATTCTACTATTTCTATTACAAAATTATGGGAAAAATTCTGACAGCCGTTTGTGTAATTTTACTTATTTATTTTTAACTTTACTTTCCTCTACCTTGGTATTGTGAACATTTCCAAGCATTCAAAAAAAGTTTAAAGAACTATACAATCTGTACACATATATCCTTCTCTTAGATTTTGCAGTTATTAACATTTTGTCATTTTTTGCCTTATCTCTGGATAGACAAAGACACACAGACACACACACTTTTGCACATTCATACCTCTGAACCATTTAAAAGTTGTAATCTTCAGGACCCTTCAGCCCTAAATACTCTCACACTCACCACCTAAGAATAAGAATATTCTTCCACTACCATAATAGTATAACCATAATTACTATAATAAAATTAACAATAATTCCATACTATCTAATTTCCAGTCCATATTAAAATTCTATACAATGACCCAAGAAATCTTCTAAATGTTTTTTTTATATCATTAATCTACAATTACTTGAGGAACATTATGTTTACTAGACTTCCCCTATAACCAAGTCCACCCCACATACTCCAATACAGTCTCTGTCCATCAGTGTAGTAAGATGCTATAGAGTCACTACTTGTCTTCTCTGTGTTGCACAGCCCTCCCCGTGCACCCACCTCATTATACACGCTAATCATAATGCCCCCTTTCTTCCCCTCCCCCTTATCCCTCCCTTCCCACCCATCCTCCCCAATCCCTTTCCCTTTGGTAACTGTCAGTCCATTCTTGGGTTCTGTGAGTCTGCTGCTGTTTTGCAACTTCAGCTTTTTTCTTTGTTTTTATACTCCACAGATGAGTGAAATCATTTGGTACTTGTCTTTCTCTGCCTGTCTTATTTCACTGAGCATAATACCCGCTAGATCCATCCATATTGTTGCAAATGGTAGGATTTGTTTTCTTCTTATGGCTGAATAATTTTCCATTGTGTGTATGTAACACATCTTCTTTATCCATTCATCTACTGATGGACACTTAGGTTGCTTCCAATTCTTGGCTATTGTAAATAGTGCTGCGATAAACATAGGGGTGCATCTGTCTTTTTTAAACTGGGCTGCTGCATTCTTAGGGTAAATTCGTAGAAGTGGAATTCCTGGGTCAAATGGTATTTCTATTTTGAGCTTTTTGAGGAACCTCCATACTGCTTACCACAATGGTTGAACTAATTTACATTCCCACCAGCAGTGTAGGACGGTTCCCCTTTCTCCACAACCTTGCCAACACTTGTTGTTGTTTGTCTTTTGGATGGTGGCCATCCTTACTGATGTGAGGTGATATCTCATTGTGGTTTTAATTTGCATTTCTCTGACAACTAGTGATGGGGAGCACCTTTTCATGTGTCTGTTGGCCATATGAATTTCTTCTTGGGAGAACTGTCTGTTCAACTCCTCTGACCATTTTTTATAAATTTTTTATTAAGGTATGATTGATATACACTCTTATGAAGGTTTCAAATGAAAAAACAATGTGGTTACTACATTTACCCATATTATCAAGTCCCCACCCATACCCCAATGCAGTCACTGTCCGTTTCTCTGTGCTACACTGTTCTCCCCGTGATCCCCCACACCATGTGTACTAAACATAATACCTCTCAGTCTCCTTCTCCCTCCCTCCCCAGCCACCCTCCCACACCCCTCCCCTTTGGTAACCACTAGTTCATTCTTAGACTCTCTGAGTCTGCTGCCATTTTGTTACTTCAGTTTTGCTTCATTATTATACTCCACAAATGAGGGAAATCATTTGGCACTTGTCCTTCTCCACCTGGCTTATTTCACTGAGCATAATGTCCTCCAGCTCCATCCATGTTGTTGCAAACAGTAGGATTTGTTCCTTTCATATGGCTGAATAGTATTCCATTGTGTATATGTACCACATCTTCTTTATCCATTCATCTACAGATGGACACTTAGGTTGCTTCCATATCTTGGCTATTGTAGAAAGTGCTGTGATGAACATAGGGGTGCATATGTCTTTTTGAATCTGAGAAGTTGTAGTCTTTGGGTATATTCCAAGAAGTGGGGTTCCAGGGTCAAATGGTATTTCTATTTTTAGTTTTTTGAGGAACCTCCATATTGCTTTCCACAATGGTTGAACCAGCTTACATTCCCACCAGCAGTGTAGGAGGGTTCCCCGTTCTCCACACCCTCGCCAACATTTGTTGTTCTTAGTCTTTTCAATGCTGGGCATCCTTACTGGTGTAAGGTGATATATATAATTTGCATTTTCCTGATGATTAGTGATGTGGAGCATCTTTTCATGTGTCTGTTGGCCATCTGAATTTCTTCTTTGGAGAACTATCTCTTCGTATCCTCTGCCCATTTGTTAATCAGGTTATTTGCCTTTTGGGTGTTGAGGTGTGTAAGTTCTTTATATACTTTGGATGTTAACCCCTTGTTGGATATGTCATTTACAAATGTATTCTCCCATACTGTAGGATGTCTTTTTGTTTTGTTGATGATGTCGTTTGCCATACAAAAACTTATTAGTTTGATGTAGTCCCGTGAGTTCATTTTTGCTTTTGTAACCCTTTCTCGAGGAGATGGGATAAGGAAGAAGTTGCCCATGCTTATTTATATATTCGGGAGATGTTTGCCTATCTTCTCTTCTAAGAGTTTATGGTTTCATGACTTACATTCAAGTCTTTAATCCATTTCAAGTTTACTTCCTCTGACCATTTTTTAATTGGATTATTTGCTTTTTGTTTGCTGAGGTGCATGCACTCTTTATATATTTTGGATGTCAACCCTTTATTGGATCTGTCATTTATGAATATATTCTCCCATACTGTAGGACGCCTTTTTGTTCTATTGGTGTCCTTTGCTGTACAGAAGCTTTTCAGCTTGATATAGTCCCACTTGTTCATTTTTGCTTTTGTTTCCCTTGCCCGGGGAGATATGTTCATGAAGAAGTCACTCATGTTTATGTCCAAGAGATTTTTGCTTATGTTTTTTTCAAAGAGTTTCATGGTTTCATGACTTACATTCAGGTCTTTGATCCATTTCGAATTTACTTTTCTGTATGGGGTTAGACAATGATCCAGTTTCATTCTCTTACATGTAGCTGTCCAGTTTTGCCAACACCACATGTTGAAGAGGCTGTCATTTCCCCACTGTATGTCCATGGCTCCTTTATTGTATATTCATTCACCATATATGTTTGGGGTAATATCTGGACTCTCTATCCTGTTCCACTGTCTGTGGGTCTGTTCTTGTGCCAGTACCAAATTGTCTTGATTAATGTGGCTTTGTAGTAGAGTTTGAAGTTGGAAAGCGAGATCCCCCCTGCTTTATTCTTCCTTCTCAGGATTGCTTTGGCTATTTGGGGTCTTTCGTGTTCCATATGAATTTTAGAACTATTTGTTCCAGTTAGTTGAAGAATGCTGTTGGTATTTTGATAGGCATTGCATTGAATCTGTATATTGCTTTGGGCAGGATGGCCATTTTGACAATACTAATTCTTCCTAGCCAAGAGCATGGGATGAGTTTTCATCTGTTAGTATCCTCTTTAATTTCTCTTAAGAGTGCCTTGTAGTTTTCAGGGTATAGGTCTTTCACTTCCTTGGTTAGGTTTATTCCTAGGTAGTTTATTCTTTTTGATGCAATTGTGAATGGAATTTTTTTCCTGATTTCTCTTTCTTCTAGTTCATCGTTAGTGTATAGGAAAGCAACAGATTTCCGTGTATTAATTTTGTATCCTGCAACTTTGCTGAATTCAGATATTTGTTCTAGTAGTTTTGGAGTGGAGTCTTTAGGGTATTTTATGCACAGTATCATGTCATCTGAAAATAGTGACAGTTTGACTTCTTCTTTACCAATCTGGATGCCTTGTATTTCTTGGTTTTGTCTGATTGCCATGGCTAGGACCTCCAGTACAACGTGGAATAACAGTGGGGAGGGTGGGCATCCCTGTCTTGTTTCCAATCTTAGTGGAAAGGCTTTCATCTTCTCACTGCTAAGTATGATGTTGGCTGTGGGACTGTCATATATGGCCTTCATTATTTTGAGGTACTTGCCCTCTATATCCATTTTCTTGAGAGTTTTTATCATGAATGGATGTTAAATTTTGTTGAACGTTTTTTTAGCATCTATGGAGATGATCATGTGGTTTTTGTCCTTGATGTGGTGGATGATGTTGATGGATGTTCTAATGTTGTATCATCCTTGCATCTCTGGGATGAATCCCACTTGATCATGGTGTATGATCTTCTTGATATATTTTTGAATTCGGTCTGCCAATATTTTGTTGAGTACTTTTGCATCTATGTTCATCAGGGATATTGGTCTGTAATTTCCTTTTTTGGTGGGGTCTTTGCCTGGTTTTGGTATTAGAGTGATGCTAGCTTCATAGAATGAGTTTGGAAGTATTCCCTCCTCTTCTATTTTTTGGAAAACTTTAAGGAGAATGGGTATTATGTCTTCTCTGTGTGTCTGATAAAATTCCGAGGTAAATCCGTCC